GTGGGCTCCTCATTGTGGCGGCTTCTCTTGTCGCAGAGCATGGGCTTCAGTAGTTGTGGCACGCGGGCTCAGTAGTTACAGCACACGGGCCCAGCCGCTCCGCGGCATGTGGGATACTCCCGGACCAGGGCTCGAACCCATGTCCCCTGCACTGGCAGGCAGATTCCCAACCATCGCACCACCAGGGAAGCCCAAGAAAGGAACTATTATTGTTTCCTATTTTATAGGCAAAGAAACACTGGCAGAGATTGAGTTCTCAAGGCCACACAGCCTGTATGTGGTAGAACTGGGATAAAAAGCAGCCATCAACCTGTCCAGAACGCATACTCTTTAGCAGAAGCCTGCCAAGCCTCCTCTGCCATCCTATCCTACTGGAAGAAAGTGTCTCAAGAAGGTGGGGCTGATTTGTTTTGAAGACCTTGCCGCAAAACCCAACAGTCCATGAGTCAAAACCCAACAGTCCATGGGTTGTATGTGTGCACATGTTCCTGCCTTCAATGGTTTTACATATTGGTGGAAAATATCAAACGAACAGAAAAGACAGCCACCATGAACGGTAGAGTGAAAAACGCACAGTCACAAAAAGCAAAGATTGTCCTACACAAAAATTCAGAAGTCAATGCGTGAACAGTAAGTTTTTGTTTTATAAGTAGTCAGTACTTTTATCTATTTACTTATTTAATCCTACGAGGTAGGTACCTATTGCCATCCCATTTTACGGAAGAGGACCTGGAGGATGGAGAGGTCAGGAGATGGCTAGAGCCAGAGCCTGCCCCAGGCAGTCAGATGCCAGCGTCAGATCATCACCACTCCACCTATTGTAGGGGCCTCAGCAGACAATCCCACTCAACCTGCAAATGTTTTTTTGAGAGAGGACATAGATAAAAGAAAAATTATCTTGCAACTATTAAAAGCTATTGCACCAAATAGAAAAGTAAAATAATTGAAAAATTCTTCCTCCCCTTTGAAAACATGCACATGACTGTTTATCTGAAATGATTTAAATTCAGTCCAAGCAGAGCATTTGCCCCAATACCTTAGGAGTTCCACTTGCAGTTGGAACAATGGCAATGCTGTACAGAGGGGGTAAAGGAGAGGAAGATGGGTTTGGATGTATGTGTGTGGGGGGGTGTTCATCGCATCAATCTGCCAAACCCACACACAGTCAGACACTAGTCAGACACCCTTTGAAATGGAAAGGGTGATCGTAGACAGCAACCCACTTCTGTTCGGATGCCTGAAATAGACCAGAGCCATGCAGGAAGCAACATCCAAAGCCGATTCCCTACCCTCTAGGTTGTCACACACAGACTCCCCCTCACGTGGCTCCTTACACCGCAAGAACCAGTCCCTCAATTACTGGCAGATACATGGAATGGAGTGAAGTTAGGCCTTAAAGGAGTGTCAATAAACTTCTGGGAGAGCATCATGCTTCCTGGACATACATCTTTATTTCTAAAGAATGAATCAGCTAGACATGGGCAATTGATTCTTTTTAATCAATTATAAAAGCAGTTTAATTAATGTTCATTGTAACCCTGTGAGGCAATGTTTACTATTATCTCCATGCTATATAATGTTTGTTGCTTATTGAATTCAAATTGCATTAGACTGGGTGCAGCAACAGTTTTTACTAATTCAAGGGCAATAATCTTTAATTGAAGTAGTTTGTTTCTATGAGTAACTTCCTGATGGTTTCTATTCACCAAACCTTGCTACACCAGGGAGGCAACTGTGGCACATAGAAAGCACACAGCCCTTGCAGGCAGACACTCGAGTAAATCCGCAGACAAGTCAGGTCACTGCTCCAAGGCTCAGCACCCCGCATCTTTGGAAATCAGAGAGTGATACCTACATTATGAAATAAATATCCGGGACAGTAACATGGCATCTGGAGCCTGGGTTTGTATCCCGACTCTACCACTGTGTAACCTTGGGCAAATTATTTAACATCTATGGCCCTTTGTTTCTTCATCTGTGAAAAGGGGATAGTTTTAGTACCAACCTATAGGGTGGTTTTGAGGATTAAATGAGTTAAAATTTGTACACCAGCTACACAGTGCCTGATCACAGTGAGTACTACGCAAATGTTTTAAGAAGAAAATAAAATAAAGGTGAGAAGAGTTACTGTAATGTGGAAGAAAGCACCAAGCAGAGTACCCAAGACATCACAGGCACTCCACTGGGACGTCTCCCTAAATTAGAGCAACACAGACATGGTGGCCCCTGAGTAGCTGAAATTGCACCTCTACTGAGTAAGCTCTAACAGAGCCTATTTTGTGTTAATTCTCATCACATCACTGACTTGCTTCCATTGGCCACTCTTCACTTCTTCTCTCCCTCTCACACTGTCTTCACCTCCTATTCAGTGATTATGGAAAACCAGCCACAGAATGTGAAATAAAATTTCAGTTCAGAAGAGCAAACTCATTTGTGAAAGAACATTTCAAAGGAAAGAGAGGACCTTGGCTCTCTGATCTATTTCACCAACACTGTGAACATTAGCAAAGAAAAGTTTCATGATTTGCTTTTCTTTAGGAAGCTTTGCCAAGTTACATTATTTTTAAAAAAATAAGAATCAAAGTAACATCAGTATAGTTTTAAAATATAGGGCATTTCTTAAAGAATTACAAAGAATAACCAAGTGTTTTCTAATTATGCTCCAACGAATTTCAGAAACTTGCTGAAAATTCACTTGCTCTTGTACTTGTGTGCCTGCCTCCTTTGGGTACTTTGCATGTGTGTATCCATATATAAGAGCTCTCTTTTTGACAGACACCCACACCCACGCGCCCCAGAAATGCTATTTGAGTACTTATCTAAACAGACAAGTACTTGTTGAAAATAAAAATGTTCTGACCAAAGCAGCTGCACAGAGAAAAGGGGTTTCATCCATTGGGAGCAAAGGAGAAAATATGATTTGGTCCAACAATTTGCACATACGCAATAACTGTTAAATCTAGCATTAGAAATGTAATGAATTTGAGTCTGATACATTTTTATACTTAGAATTTTAATTTCTTTTTTATGTGCATAACAACCATGTCATACAGAAAAAGAAAATATAGATAAAGCAAAACAATGTTTAATAAAAATTGGAATAACCATTTTGGTAGAGCTATGATTAGGAAATATGCTTCCAAATTACATGGAGGAAGAGGACTGGAAGCCTTTAAAAATATCCTCCTTCTGTTTCTTAAACCAAACAATGAGGAGTATTAGATGAAACAAAAAGACAGCCCCAAACTCGCAGTCAGAAGCCCTGCCTCTAACCCTACCTTATTATTGGATAGCTTGTGTGACCCTGAATATCCTCATGGGCTGCAATATTCTCACCTATCAAGAAAGACAGTTGGACTAAAGGACTCCACTGAATTTGAGGATGCAGCCAGTCCCATAATAGGCCTACGGACATGATCTTCTGTTATAGATTGTCATCCTGTCCTGGGACTCATAATATCCTCTTTTTCTTAACTAGACTGAAGAATTCCTGCAAAGTTTTTTGGTAACATACTTTCAAAGCAAGCCCTCTCAAGCAAGGGGTACCTATTCTCAACCTAGGTCACCTTCCCAATGACCTGCAGGGGGCAGAGTAGGTAAGCACAGTGAGGGACTTGAAACCCTATTAGGGGTCTAGGATAGGGTCCTGTTTTGTAGCCCTTATCCTACCCCAGGCTGCTGCTCTTTATTAGTAGGGCATATAAATCCACATGCTAAGGATCTGATCATGTGTGTTGAATAAGATGCACTAACACATTTATTTTCTTCTTTTCTCCCAATGGTCAAAATCCAATTTCTATGTAAATACGTTTGGTCATAACATTCTTATTTTTAACAGGTATAACTCTTCTACTTTAACAGGAGGATTTGGAAGTGCTGTTATAAATTACAAGAAATTCCTCCGGAGCAGAAGGGGCTTATCTCATTCTTATGTGCTGAGACTGGCAGGGTTTAAAGGCATTTGTTCTCTGAGGATGGGCACAATACACAGAAACCGAGGCAAACCTCTATCTAGTCCATGTCCTAACGCCCCAGGAAACAGAGGGAAGGAGAGCTTCCTTGCTTGCTGTCCTGAGTTCAGAATCCCTCTCACTTCAGAGTGAGCTGACCTACCCAATGTTATTTACTACAAGAAGTACTGCAATTCGCCACTATTTTTATTTGGAAGGAAGTTGGTTTTCTTTGGATTCATACAGGTCAGACAAGCCTTGTCATCAAGAATTACCAATCCCATGATGTATGGATAGGTTGTCCCATACTTTCTTCCGATCTCGCCTTGGGTGACACTTTTTAAGAGTGGTCTCCCTGATTGCCCCATACAAACACAGACCCATTGCCCTGTTTTTTCTTCCTACTTTAATTTTCTTCACGTATTAGATATTTTTGTACATGCATTCATTGTCTACCTGCTCCTACTAAAAAATAAGCTTCCTGAGGATTCTGAGTATGTTCTGTCCACGCCTGTATCTCTAGTGTGAGTGACACACACATTGTACGTGCTCAGCAAATTATCTGTTCAGTGAATAAATGTCAGAAACCCTCCAGGTGAATAAAGAATACTTAAGGGTGATAAAGAATAAAGAATTATTTAAGAGTAAATAATAGCCACCACATTTGCCCAAGGCACAGTGGGGAGAGCTTTTCTAATACACAGAGACATCATTCACATCACCACCAAACGCTCTCACAGATTAACCTCCATGACCAGAGAGGGGCGTTTCTGATGTAATAGTTTATAATTCTTTTTCCTTCATTTACAATCAAAATACACAGTGTGATGTCCAATTCTACTTCTGTCCTTTTGAAATAAGGGAGATGCTTCTCACTGCATGGGTTTTAGTGAAGGCTTCTCCACGCATCACGTTTTACAATTGAAAACGCCTTAGATATAGGCCTCCTCTTGGCTCCGGCTACCAGAGTTTCTCAAAAAGGAAGGTACCTGCCTAAGCTACCTTTGAGGAATGAAGGAATTCATGTCAACAGGTGGCTGGGGCACTTACTGCCAGAGCAGGAGGCTTCTTTAGGGCTGGAAGACATCGGCTGTGCACACAGTTGGCAAAGGCAGTCTCTCCCATTGAACGTGACTCGGTCACCGGGTGGAAACGGGCGCCTGGAGACAGAAAGACATTTGCCCTCAAGGTCACTGCAGCAATTTCATTCCTCTTCCTCACCCCTGCTTGGCTGGCCTCTGGTGCCAATTCACTGCTTCGAAGAGGAGCCAAACCATTTGAAATGCAGCCTGAAGCCAGCCAGCCAGCTGGATCCAGTCCAGACAAACACACAAACGTGCCTCATTTTGAGAGGAAAGGAGAATGCGCAGCTTCTGCGGGCAACCAGATAGTAAAATGATACCGTTTACCTCCACTCATTAGCGGAGGGATGTTCCAACAAGTCACCTAGCAGGGCACACACAGTAAGATTTTCCTTTTCCAAATGGAAACACCTCCAGGAAGAAATATTTTAAATGCCATGGATTCCTATTCAAGCTTAAGGCCCTTCCCCAAGAGAACTGGTTACAGGTCAAGCATTAACTCTTTAAGTTCCCTGGCCCAACGTGATAATTATGCTGAATTAGACTTGGTCCTGGACGTCTGAATGGGCGAACTAAATATCTCACAGTGCTAGGGGCCCAGTCCCTTATAAACTTGGAGAAATACGAAGATGCGATAAATATCTGTTTAAAAATTAGTATTAGCTTCTTTTCAGAAAGATATTTTCCTTTCACATTAGATATTCATCAATAACAGCACACGTTGCAAAAATATTGCCTTCTTCAGGTATGTTATCAGTTTCTTCTGCTCCCACTTCATCAGGCAGATAGCTTTAAAAAAAGTCATTAATTAATAGCCATATGACAGTTTCCACGCCTACTTTCTTGCAACTGACCAATTTGCCAATGATCTTCATCATGAGTTTTCAAATGTGTGATTCTGTCAATCAGGAAATTTGAAACTCATAAGCCAAACATCCCCACACATCTGAGTCAGAAGCAATTTCTTAAGAACAAATTCAAGCTTCTGGACATGTTTTACGTTCACAGCTGCCTTAAGTTGCCCTTTGGCCGCTTAACAGTTGGTGATTAACCATAATGCACGCACAGATAGTAAATTTGGACTTAACTCCACAAATGTGCTTGTTGCCAGTCATCAAGGAAGAGTTTTAAACTCTCACACCGCCAGATTTTAGAAGTGCTGAGTTGAGGTGGTCTCTCCTCTCCTCTTCGCTCCTGGTGCCACGTTACTTTCCACTGCTCAGATAAGGCCCAGAGAGGTTAAGCAACTTGTGTGCAATGACCAGCTAGGGAGACCAAGCCACAGGCAGGTGCAGGTGGTATCCACCAACTCAGAACTTGCCCTGTCTTTAATAATCAAAGTCACACTCCGGTGGATACCAACAGGCCTATCGCTTCACACTTATTAAGTAAAACCAAGCAAGCCTCCAATCTGCTCTGTAAGGAGGCCCTCAGGGGATGAAGAGTCCACAGACACAATAAGCTCAGGTTCTTTGCCTCTGATCAGGGCCAGGACCAGGGTGAGGGCAGCGAGGCACCCGAGGCAAAGCATCTAAGGAGGCCCCCGCTGTCAGGAGTGCCGCATGACCCGGGAGTAAGCACCCATTTAAACTGTGCGCCCAGGAGCCTCCCTGGCTTCACCCTAGTCCAGGCCCTGCATCTGATCTAAGCTTCTATTTTTAAACTTGAACCCCACACAGATCCACCATGGGACAAACCGGAGTCCAGTTCTCAACAATGCGACCAGGTCTTCTGAATTTTGAATTTTGTTATTTCATGAATGACCCCCCTTCATTTCCCTACGTCCTCTGCCCATATGGGTTCACTTCCTCCTGACATTTGCCTGAATGTTTGTAATAGGAGAACTGGATTTACAGTCAGAACACCTGAGTTCAAATCTTGGCCTTGCGATGTGAGGGACTGGGAAAATCCCTTACACTCTGAGTCTCAAAGTCACTCATAAGTAGGGATACGAATTCCTGATTGACTTCACAGAATTGCTCAGAGGGTCAAATTAATTTCTACATGAATGCAATTTGTAAACTGTAAAGGTGGCCTCCTCAGAGGAAATTGGCATCATTCAGCAGCAGCAACAGTGGGCACCTCTCTGCTGGCTCAAACATGCAGGGACAGGGCTACAGCTGATAAATGTTTGTCCGTTACCAACTTGAAGCAATGATCTCTCAGGGCCAAGATCAGGAAGCCTCTTGGAGTTTACCAGGGCCAGCGCCCTCCAACCTGACTGAGTCTCCTCCTCCTTGGTGGCCCTTCAGAAACCACTAAATCATCATGAGTTAGGAGGGAGAAAGGTTAGAAATGGATATTTTAAAGAGACCCTCCCTAGGGGATTCCAGTGACCATCCAGGTTTGGGGAATCACTTGTATGCAGTTCACAGCCTCTCACCTTACAGATGAGACAATTGCTGTGGAAAAGTTAGCTCACATAGGTCTCAAATCAGCCCAGGAAGCAGGACCAGGACTCGGGTCTCCCGAATGCCAGTCCAGGCTCTTAACCAGGCTGTGAGCTACAGCCTGAAAAAGGAGAGGTCAAGAGGAAGCTTTGCTTTTGATTAAATACAGAAAAAATTTCAGCTCATTAACCCAGAATTTTTAAATTATGATTTAAAAATATATATAATTTAAAAATGGGCTAATAGTTACATAAAGTTATTAAAATAATTTGATTATGAATATTTCATCTAAATCTTATTACAATTTATCCATGTGTATTATCTTGTTAATTAATTATACAAAATCATATTTACCCTCCTAGAGTTTACATTTCTCTGGCCTAGAAACATGAAATGCTGAAAAACAAAACAAACTGAACTGAACTGTAGTTTTTACAAAGGCATAGCAAAATGGAGCGCACAGAATCAACACCATTCCAAAAGGCATGGGATTGCCTGATTAGTATGGGTCAATTAAGTAGCTGATCATTTACTGGTGAGTCTCCTCATTATAGAAATCGAACCCATTGTAAATTCTGTAATGTGTAGCACTCAAAACACAACAACAATGAACCACATTTTCCACTCACACTTCACACAGTTTCCTTCTTCTCTCTGACTGATCATTTTAATCAAGCTACTTTGTGCAGTAAAGATCTAACCTTGGTGGATGATAGAGAGGAGGGGTTGGCAACTTTTCCCCTGAAAGATCAAATTGTAAATAGATTTTTAGACTGTGCAGATCATAAGGTTTCTGTCACAACTTCTCAACTCTGCCACTGTCACTTGGAACCAGCCATAGACAATACATAAACAAACGGGCATGGCTGTGTTCCAATAAAACTTTATTTACAAAACAGGTATTGGGTCTGATTTGGCCCATGGGGCAGTTTGCTCTCCCTGGTTATAGAGCAAATGCAACTATTTTACACACCCACTCCCACACACTGATACTTCCAAATAAGCTTCATCTTTCCAAGTATTTATGCCATTTCCTCCCATGTTTCCATTGCTCAAAATGTCTCAAGATCTAGAGCTGCTTTCAGATTTGGTTTCAAGGCACTTAAAATCAGTCACATTATTTAGTGGAGGATATCACATATAAAGTTTCCTAAGTAACTTACTTTTTGACTAAGCCTGATAACACACTAGGAAAATAAAAACATCTAAAGGTGCATCAGAAAAAAATATTTTAAGACAAATGTATGATATCACGTATATGTGGAATCTAAAAAAAATGATACAAATGAATTTATTTACAAAACAGAAATAGACTCACAGACATAGAAAACAAATTTATGGTTACCGAGGGGGAGGGATAAATTAGGACTTAACAGATACAAACTACTATATATAAAATAGATAAACAACAAGGTCCTACTGTATAGCACAGGGAACTATATTCAATATCGTGTAATAATCTATAATGGAAAAGAATATGAAAAAGATATATGTGTATATTTGTATAACTGAATCACCTTGCTGTACACCTGGAACTAACACAACACTGTAAATCAAACTGTACTTCAATAAAAAAATTTTTTTTTAAAGAAAAGATATTTTAAGACTAAGTACAACTCAAGGGACTTCCCTGGTGGTCCAGTGGTTAAGACTCAACACTCCCAATGCAGGGGGCCCGGGTTCAATCCCTGGTCGGGGAACTAGATCCCACATGCGGCAACTAAAAGATCCTATATGCCACAGCTAAGACCAGGCACAGCCAAAATAAATAAATACTAAAAAAAAAAAAGAGAGACTAAGTACAACTCAAGACCAAAGCGCACATTCCAAGCTCTGACAGCAGAACCCAGCGCTTCTCTGTTGGGGAAAGCCACACTTACTTGCAGATCGTACAAGCAAAGCAGTTGGGATGGTAGGTCTTGCCCAGGGCGGTCACCACCTCTCCTTCCACAAACTCCCCGCAGCCATGGCAGCGCGTGCCATACATCCTCTGGTAGTCCAGGGTGCAGAGATACTCTCCGTTCTTTATGAAGAAGCCCCCTTGGGCCAGGTCACAGCCACACACTGTGGACATACAAGTTCACATCTGGTTATCATCTGCCAAGCTGCTGGGCAGCAGTGCCTTCTACTGCATGCTGCTAACTTACTCTATGATCTCAGCAGTATGGGGTTTGCGAAGGGGGGACTGGTACAAAGAGCTATTTATTGTTGGGCTCTGATTCTCTCTTGCCTCCCTCTCCTTTTGCTTCCCTCCCCTTTGGGAGCTATGCAATGTCTCATGCAAGTAAAATCCATTGGCTAGGGCTCCACAGCTTCTGTGATATGTCTAAGATTCAGAGATAATCAGTCTTTGATGGAAAGATACCTTTGGTTCACGCGGTCTCAAATATGAACAAAACTGTCTCTTGCAGTGCTATTCAGGAAAGCACGGCTTGCCCACACAACTGCTTGGTTTGGACCAAAACTGTTACTGAGCTGAGTAATAAATTCCCACTACACCAAAAGCTGAAATGTCCAGTGTCTATTTTTTCACACTCTGTAAATACTTTCCCATAGTTCTAAACAATTCAGACGTTTAATTTTCTCTTTGTGCAGTAAATAGGATAAGTCCATTATTTATATATTACAGAGAGAGATAAAAACGAACAAGCAGAAGAGGAAAGAAAAGGGAACATGTCCAAGATAAAACTGTCATTCAGGACCTCAGCACACGCAAAAGAGGCTGCTTTGCTGTGTCTGGATTTTGGCGTCTCTTTCAAAACTGTGCAGCTGTGAATTACGGAGATGGTGCAAAAAAAAGCAGGTCCTGGGATTCCAGGTGTGCATGTTCAGGCAAGACCAGAGCAGGACTCAGCAAGCGGTCCAGAAATAAAGCCACAGGCAGCCTCTGCGAGTAAAGATTTTCCACTGCCAAGTGACCGGGAAGCAACACCAAAGCTGGAAATCTCCATTCTTAACCTCTCTATCCCCAAGTTTGGATGCCACATCAGGGACCTGGGCAAAGAATCCAGGATTTGTCCTGATTATTCCTGCAAGCAGTTGGTATGGGCACCCAGCTGGGGTAGGGACGAGGTGAGTTCAGTCACTAAATTGCTCTCCTAAGGACCTACTGGAACACACGATAAGTTCCCCTGACACATGAACACATCTAGATGAACTAGTGTTGAGCACAGTAAGATTCTGACGGAATCTTACCGCCCCACCCTCAGTTAGCAGGCTCTACTAACGGCAAACTACTAAAGATACTCGCGGTGACGCAGAACCCACAACAAGCTTTCCACTGTGGGTTCATCTGTCTTTGTTTAGATCAACACTCCACAGCTATGACCTCCTTCTTTGCAATTTATAATCAAGTAACCCAAGATGATGGCCTGAGTCCGTCACGCCTGAAAATGACCACCATATAACCCTACTGTGATCACATTACCTGGAAACCAGCTTGTTCATCACCTGCCGCCTCCCTAACCTGCCAGTCCCCCACTGCTCCCACACCTGCCTTTTCCTTACCAAATGGTCCTGTGGGTCGAGAGAACTCAAGTATGGACTAAGCCCACTCTACCTGCAAATTCCTTCAACAACAGTAACTACAATCCTGAGGGCCACAGGACACCTTAGAGATCTTTCTTCAATATTTTCATAGGTATTCTTTTTTATTTCCCCACAAGATGACAAAGCACTTCATGGGTAAGAGTCCTCAGCTTCACTTCTTTTGATTTGTCTTTAGGGACCTCCAACCATGGTATCTGATATAACACTGGGAACCAAGCTTTGAATTATTATAAATTGAATCCAGCCTCAAACTTGGCAAATTCCCACTGGTTTCACTCCTCAGTGGCATCAAGCAGTTCCAATGACTCAGTTGCTCTTCCAAACTTGGGTATTTCTCAAAACCATGAAAGGTAACAAAATAAGGCATTTGGACTGCTAGTAATTCCCTTCAGTCTCTCTTCCAATCACCTAAGGTAGACAGAATGTAAAAATTCACAGATCCTTTATAAAAAGATCTGGTGGCAATAGGGTAATTATGGTAATACAGATTGTTGAGACAGCTTCAAAGCTAATTCTAAATATTTTAGAAATCCCTGTGTTCACTGCTTCCTTAGGGAACCTCTGCAGCCTCTCTAGTTCACATGGTTTTGTGAAGTTGACACATCCTGTCCTTTAATAATAAAGTCTTAGTTTATATGAACCTAATATAGCCTTAAAAAATGACTTTGTAATTACTGTTGAGAGATCCCAAACTAAAATCAAACTGTGCCCCTTTGAAATTTGATTATTTGATTTGGCTTAGTCCTTTTTTTTTTTTTTTGCGGTACTCGGGCCTCTCACTGTTGCGGCCTCTCCCGTTGTGGAGCACAGGCTCCGGACGCGCAGGCTCAGTGGCCATGGCTCAAGGGCCCAGCCACTCGGCAGCATGTGGGATCCTCCCAGACCGGGGCACGAACCCGTGTCCCCTGCATCGGCAGGCGGACTCTCAACCACTGCACCACCAGGGAAGCCCTGGCTTAGTCCTTAAATTCAAAGCAGTGGCCCAAATTGGCTTACCAAACTGTACCACTGTTTCTGGTGGTTTATACACAAGGAAACCAGTGTTTGAAAACGGACTCACAGAGGCAGGGGTCATGAAAGGCACACACAGCAAGCAGTGAGAGGGAACGTCTGTACTGCTCAGGCCTAAGAGTACTTAACGTTATTACATTTCCCAAGACTGGACTAGTTGGGACGTAATCTCAGACTCTTCCCTCTCCAGGCTTTACTTGCCTGTTCCTCCTCTGACCAAAACTTCTCAGTCTCCTTGGCCAGACCCCTAAATGCAAGTAACTCCCATGGATGTCACCTCCTTCCTCTAGAATACAAGGCCTCCCTGGGAACAGGTCTCATCCACTCTCAGAGCTTCAACTATAACTTTATGTGAAGGATTCTCAAATCTATGTCTTTATCTGTGATACCTTCCCCAAGCTGGGCAGAGACGGCACACCTAACTCGAACACAGCATTGTCAAAACAAACTCTACCCTCTCAGCTTCTCTGCCATCTCTTCTGAAACATTCTGCCATTCCCACTTTTAATAAAATGGCAGCGCTATGCATTCTCCCACTCTTACACCAAAATTTTCAACTGTCCACTAAATCCAATCCATTTTCCCAAGAAAACATTTCTTTGATCCATTTCCCTCCTCTGCCTTCTTGTCATCTTTACTCAGGTCCTGGCCTTCAGCATCACTTTCTTGTATTAAAACAGCCTTATTGTAACAGTTTGTGTACTGGCAAAAAAAACCCACCCCAAACCTGGGAACAACTCAAATTTCCATCAGCAGAGCAATAGTTGGATAAATTACGATATATCCAGTCTATGGAGTTTGTATTAAAAAGAATGGGTTAGGGCTTCCCTGGTGGCACAGTGGTTGAGAGTCTGCCTTCCGATGCAGGGGACACAGGTTCATGCCCCGGTCCGGGAAGATCCCACACGCCGCGGAGCGGCTGGGTCCGTGAGCCATGGCTGTGGAGCCTGCGCGTCCGGAGCCTGTGCTCCGCAACGGGAGAGGCCACAACAGTGAGAGGCCCGCGTACCGCCAAAAAAAAAAAAAAAAAAAAAAAGAATGGGTTAGATCAATGTCTGTAACCTAGAGGCCTGTCCAGGACATATTGTTAAAAGAGAAAATTTCACAAAGAATTTTAATAATCCCTTTTTAAAAAAAGTCTACTTATGTTTTTATGAATGAGGAAAAGTGAGTTAAGACAAACATAGGGTTATTAAATGGGTTATCTCAGTAGGATGAAGAATTGTTAACTTTTTCTTCACATACCTATGGTCAGCTCACTTTTTAAAATTATTTAATTTTGCTCATACACACAACATAAAATGGACCATCTTAACCATTTTTAAGTGTACAGTTCAGTGACATTTAGCACATTCACATAGTTGTGCAGTCACCACCCCCATGCATCCACAGGACATCTTTCATCTTGCAAAACTGAAACTCTGGACCCATAAAACAATAACTCCCCATTCTCCCTCCCTCCCCCCAGCCCCTGGCAACCGCCACTCTACTTGCTGTCTCTAAGAATTTGACTATTCTTGGTGCCTGTACAGGTAAAAGCTCACTTTAATAATCAGATGTCAAGGAAAATTATCCAAACCTTGTAAACAAGGTGAAGGAGAGAAGCGTGTTCCTCCAGTGTCATGCCGGAGTATTAACAGCCCACACAGAATTATTTCATGACCCAGGGCGCTGGATCTCTGTTTGACAAGCTCGTTACTACTAATGAAAAGCCTGGACTTCGAAAGTTAACCACAACTTGTAGATTCTTGTTCAGCAGATGTGAAGATGATTTCTGCCCAGATTTACTCCCCTGTTAGAGCGCTAACCAGCTTTGTATCTAACCCTGGCATCTTATCCCAACATCTCTTCTTGAATGCCTTTAAACCCATTCCTCTGGTTCTCCTTTGAACCAGCTTTACATTCTGCTAGTTCCTTCATTAATGAATTGACTAAATCTCTGGTACATGTTCATTCCATATTTGTATGAGAGTCAGGTATTTAACTTTTTGAAAACTACACTTTGACAAAGGAGGTACTCTTTTTAACCAAAAATATCTAAAGGTGAACATGTTAAAAATTAAAAAAAACTTTTGGTCTATTTTATATTAACAGCTTTGCTGAAAATACTTTTCTCTGGTGGCGCAAAGTAAAACTTTCCCATCCAAATGATCACACAATCCCAATTTAAGGTCGAAATTCAGTAGAGGCTCTATTTAGCTTTTTAACTCCGGATGCTCCATTTGTCTTTGCTTTGGTTGAAAGTTAACATATGCCCAGGGAAAAGCATAGATTCCTTTCATAAAAAAAATAGAGCTGCTACTTGAGGACACAGGGAGGGGGAAGGGTAAGCTGGGACGAAGTGAGAGAGTGGCATGGACATATATAAACTAACAAATGTAAAATAGATAGCTGGTGGGAAGCAGCCGCATAGCACAGGGAGATCAGCTCGGTGCTTTGTGACCACCTAGAGGGGTGGGATAGGGAGGGTGGGAGGGAGACGCAAGAGGGAGGAGATATGGGGA